GGAAAAACTATTAAGAAAGGCTAGGGTCGACTAGTAGGTGACCTATAATAAAAAGGTAATTTAGAAACTGTATAAAATATTTTTTAAAAATTATTTTAGAGTGTTAGATAGAGCAAGAAAGGACAAATAAGCTGGTTTAAGATATTCACTTGTATTTATTTCTCTTAAAATCCAACATACCCTTCATTTCTTCTCATACCCTATATAAAAAAGAGTTGCCAGAATGTGGCATGTGACAGCGCGACGTAGAAGAGCTTCATGCCAACTCCACACTCTTTGTAAAAACCCTTCATTTTTGTTAGAGCTGCAACATGCAACATGCAACCAACTGCAGTCTCCACAGCTTTGCCATTTGCAATCCACAGCAGCAGGCAGATAGCAGACAGCAGGGACATCCAAAGTGAAATTTTGTCAATGCAACTAGATGTGGCTTAAGGGTTAGCCAGATGCCAGAGACTCCTACCAACGTATACACTTGGGAAAAAAACAATTTAGAAAAGAGTTGCTAGTTCCTGAGCAGCAAAAATATATGTAAGAGCTTAAGGCTTCACTAGAAGCCAGAGATGTTAGAACTAGTTGGGAATTATAGAGTTAGTTCTATAAATTTCCATAAAAAAATTGCTTGTTAGAAAGTTTAGGTAAATATGGTGTGCAGTAAGTTAAAAAATAGCCAAAAACTCTATTTTGATTTTGTACAAGTAAATTAAATTTTACTTTTCTTAAAGTTTTACATTACCTTGAAAGTACTCCCTCATTTGTCTAAGTATATACCATCGCGATGCATCTCAGCTGGGCCAAGACGGGGATTGAGTTATGAGTGCCAGCCAGGAGTAAATTAGAGAAGAAGCTGTGCATATTTCCAGGTCCAGGACCAGCTGCAGAGGTTGCCCTGGGTAATAGAGGTATATATAGCTCAGAACCGGAATTAGGTAGTCAAAGGTTCCATCCGGCTGGTGAAGTGCTCAGCTCGATGAAGGAGGCAATTTGATGACTATATAGATGCTGCTGCTGCTGGGTTTTATGAGGCTAAGGAAGAGAGTAAATTTAGACAGTAAATGAAGTTGCTTTGGATTTTGGGATTAATGAGGGAGAGGATGATGAGCAGAAAAGCTGAAAGATAGTGTTAACAGAAGGGGTTTATAAGATGTTCAAGGAAAATTATATAGAAGAAGAGGAGGATTCATGTTTTTTTTAGAAGAAAGTACTTTAAAAAGAGCATTTGTTTTGGTGTTATAATAATATAATCATATTTAAAATTTAAGATATATTAATTTGACATATGAAATGTTAGTTTTATCTTAATTCCTTTTAGGTAAACTCTTCAAAATTGAACTTTGATTTAGTCTTTCTAATACTAAACTACCTCCACTGCCAAATTTAGTATTCCACCCACATCTGGACTCCACTTACCTGTGTGTGCATTATGCATTTGGGTCATCCGGTGTGGCATTGTTATAATTTAGCATGTAATTTGATTTATAATCGATCATAAATTAAATAAGTTTTGGACGCAGTTCGTGGGTATTACATTTTGCACATTTGCTGCCCTGCGGTACACACACACGTACACCTCTATTGGTAATTAATTAGGCATTTAATTTAATTATCAGTGCAAATTGGCCACGGGTCACAGGAGTTTTCCACAATATATCCGCTAATTTCTGGTTAAATGCAATGGAAAAGCTTTGTTCGCCGCGGCGGGTGAGGCGAGGCTTTAATGTGTATAGACCAGAAAATGCATAAATTAATACACATAATTTACACCTGTTCGCATTAAAGTGAATGATGTGAATTTCAATTTGAAATTGAGCCAGCAGGAGGAAAGGAGGCGGAAAGCGGAAGGTAGGCTTTTGGGGAAACATGCTGTTTTTGGGGAATTCTCCATTATGTGTATGTGTGTCTGCCGCACATACATCTCTCTCAGATATTCTCTCATTCCAAGTGACAAACTCGGGCAATTTCCGCTCCACGGAAATGTGCACAATTTAATTTTGGCCTGGGCTGCCAGGGCTTTGCTCATTTTCCCCTCCGGTTTTCCTTTTTTTTTTCTTTTATCTTTTCACCATTCAAGCAACATCATTTTGGTCTAGCCAAGCAGAAGTTTAGTTAACTCCGCCATATCTTCATCTGCACATCTCTCCGCGGAGTTGATAATTTTCTGCTTGAGTGTGCTGCCCAACCCCTTAGACTGTTGCTTTTAATTAGAATTAGCAACTTGCCACAAAAATGAGACACACACACACACGCATGGAGGATGGTAAGAGGAAGTTTTCCAGCTTGAGATAATTTTTTGTTTGCCGTGAAAACATAAATTCAAGTTGTTTTTATTACCATGAGGCATTCAAGGAACATTCACTCACGTTTTTCGGCCTTATTTTGTATATGTATATTTTGGGGGGAACCCCAAAAATTTCCTGGAAAATTAACAACACTCGTGGCTTTGATTTATCGCGATAAGCAGCGGATGTTGTTGTTTGTTGCTCACCAATTGTGCCCCTTTGTGGGTGGCAAAAGGGGCTTTTGCGGCTTTACAGATTTCGATTCCAGTCTCGCATATACATTATGTACACACTTATATATGCAGATTGATTTTCGGGGGGCTTTAATTAAGTTATCTAGTTTTGGCATTTTGATAAATGCGCTTGCGGCGCTTCGTTACGCTGGGTAATTGAAAATGAAGGCTAAATGATTTTGGGCATTAAGAAGGTTACATTTTGGGGTTCAAGTTTTAGAGTTCAAGTTGGGTTAAATTTAATAGATTATGAAAAGGAAAGTTATTTCCTGTTAGTAATGGCTGCATTTTGGGTCCTTTTAATGCAATTTAGAAACCATGAAACCATGTCTTATATTATAAAATATTTGCTTAACTTATATTTCCCTCTAAAACCTTTCCTTATAAAGCTAAAAAATAATTTAAAACCAGGTCACCTGGTCATTGTATACTCTGTAACCCCTATGCCCATTGAGATAATGAATTAATTACAAGTACCGCCTTCACTATGTAGTATGTCTCCCTGAATTCCACGCACTATTTAAGCAGCCTGGTAACTGTGTGACAGACACATAAATTAATTAAAAGTCGGAAGCAGATATAAAAATATATAATTCAAAGAGGAAAGCCCAAGTAGAGAAGAAAAGAGCAAAGAAAGAGCCGCCGCAGCCGCGACAGTTTGGCTGACAATAATAATTAAAGCAACTGCGGACCAGAGCCGCCAATAACAACAATAAACAGCTGCAAGCAAGCACCAAGAGCACATCCTCCTCCTCCTCCGTCACCTCCTCCCATGTCATCTCTCCTAGGAATAAAAAGAAGCTGCGCGTCATGTCGCTCATCCCATGTATGTGATGTGACGCAGCCGAGGAGTGTGTGCAGGCGTCTGCAGTTTGAGCATGCAACTCCATGCGGCAATTATGGGAATGCAGTGCACACAAATTGAAAAAGTAAACCAACTCTGAACTGAACCCGTCGCTGCCACCCAACATAAGCCAAAACCATGACGGGTTCTTCAAGCAACAGTGGGGATTCTTTAGTAGGAAAAATGTATCTAAAAATAAAAGATACTGTATCTTTTCATACAAAATAGATAGATGCTACAGAAATTTTATAAATATATTCAAAGCTGATCATTCAAATAACAAAATACAATTATAAAATATTTCAAAATAAATTTTAATAAATTCTAAATTCAAAATAAGTATTGCTATATCGATTTTCCATCCTTAGCTAATTCTATTTAATTTTAAATATATTAAAATTAAGAAACCAACCACTTTGTCGAAGTCAAACTGTTCCACAAAATGCTCAACTGCAATTTGCCCTTGCAATTTGTCATTCCCTCGACTCCCAGAGAGTCGCCCAGCTCTTAATGATCATAATCTTCATACATGACAAACAGACAGACACTCCTCACACACCCCGCTTGACTTTAATTGTTAAACAAATATTCATAAAAAATAGAAAGAAAGAAAAGAGTGCCAGAGAGAGCACAATTAAAGGCCAAGCACTTATTTGGTTTTATTACTACTGCTGACCCTCAGAGGTCGACGGTTACTTCTACTCGAGTTGGGGTTTTATCTCTCTCTCTCTTTTTTTTTTGGAGCTCAGTTGGGCGAATGAATTCTGCGGCGACAAGACACATGAGATGGCCGCCACTTAAGTGTTGTGTTTTCTTAGCCACACTGCAAGTGGGAAAATATTTCGGGACGAGCAAAGTTCTCATCCAATTAGCGAAGATAATTGGGCGAGTCAGCAAAAACAAGAAGTAAATGTTACGAGATGATAAGCAGAACAATTTCAAAGTTGCTGCACCAAAGAGACAAGGGAATTCCTGCAAAATAAACTTGAAATAATACACTTAATAATGACTTGAAGATGGCATAAAAGTATTTAAGAAAAAGTATTTAATTAAAAAGAATTTATATTAAAGCAAGCAAATGGAGAAAAGAAGTAAACTTGTATAGAAACACAGTTTTTGAATTCAGAAGTCAACTTAAATTACATAAGTTTCTCTCAAACGTATGCTTTTTTGCTTAAAAATCTGTACCTTAAGCTTAAATAATACCTTTATAATTTATGACAACATCTTTGTCTTGCAAAACTCATTTCAAAGAAATTTTTGCTTTTTCTTATGCAAATATTTCACATACTAAGCGAAACAAAAAGCTCAAATTTCTATTTCCCCTAGTTAAGCCACTTAAATGCATTTAAAACCACTTTATTTAAGCTGCCAAATATGTTGCACAACTTTGGCCGAGACCTGGCAAGCAAAAACAATAAAAGCCAAACAAAAAAGTCATATGTCAATTGGCTAATTAAAGGCAACTGCAACTACGATAACCTTTTGTGTCAGTCTCAAGTTGAGATTTATTTGTGGCTTTACAACAAATTTATCTTTCACTTTTGCTGCAGTTCAAGTTTGCTTTTAATCTCGTTTTATTTCTGAGGCAAAAGTTCAATAAATGTAATTAATTGATTTTTTGCTTTTTGTTTTTCATTGCAGTTAACCCCCAAAAACAAATCTGGAAATTATGGTAAGTTAATAGGCCTAATTGGCCAACAACTTTTACATGAAAATTAGCAGGGTTTTGCCGCGAAAAAGCAAGGGTCTCACTCGGTCTCCCTGTCCCCATGGGTAAAATATTTCATAATTTATGCGAGGAGAAATGAAAATTGTATGCTTTCTGCGTAGCATAATTTATAACCAAGCAGAACATAACGATGAAAGCAACTTTGTACTTACTCTTGATACCCGGTATTTGAAAGTTGGAATGGAGGAGTATATTAGGAGTGTTATAAAATTATTTGTTAAAAAATAAATAATAAAATAATATTGTAGTTGATTAGAAATTATTAATTAAAGCATTAAAGTACCTTAAATTTGAAATGATCTATTCATTGCTCTTTCTTTGAATTTGTAGATTATCTATAGATTTGTATACAAATCCACAGATTATCTACAGCGAAGTTCGATTTAAATCGATATTTTAGCTTGCGATAAATGTTTAAATCGATATATATTTTTCCCGATAAATATACAATTTATGAAGAATTTTGAAAGTTAGTTTTAATAATGTTTCGAATATAATCCATAAAAAAAATATATATAAAACCAAAGTATATATCATTTTGACCTATTATAGATATCAGCAACTAAAACGTTATTGTTATTGGGTTTTAAGATTAATATTCGAACTCTTCATACAAAATAGGGCCTTTAAATATCGATATGCATCTCTCTCTCTCTTTGGGTATTTTACACTAACAATTCTAGAGCTTTTAGTAGATTTAATTTATTAAATTGGTTAACAAAATCAACTTTCTTCCTTTTATTTATGTATTTATACTTATATATTATAGAAATCAGCTCAAAAGCGTATCCCTAATGGATAATCAATAGTCGTTGCTCACAAACAATGCCGTATTTCTTTTTAAATTTGACTTGTGAGAGTTTTGGGGCTGCGTGCCTGCCATTTTGACCGCTTAATGTGGAATGAGTAATGTTTAAATGTAACCAGGACAATGGCAGCGAAGATTGTGCCGAAGGGACTTGCCACAGGATACGCTCCTGCCCCGCATACCTCGCATCCCCCGTGGTGGAATCTCATGCAATTTATATTCGACACTTGCCACGCCACGCGAACTGGGTCAGAACATGTGAAGAGCTCCACTTGCTGCTCCTGTTGTTGTCGCCTCTCTAGTCTCTCTAGCTGTGTGGATTCCATCTATATCTATTCTCGTTGCCAGGAGCTTTAAATTGCTTGGGCTGCTCCTGTAACCCGACAACATCCCATGGCCGAGTTCGTTTGATTGAATTTCAATTTTTATGCCTTTGGTCAGGGCAAGAGTCGTAAAGTTTGCCGTCGATTTCGGACACTTTCCAGGTCATTTATCCCCAAAAGCTTAGCTCTTCAGCTGGGCTTCTCAATTAATTTGATGAGTTTTTTTGGATAAGGAAGGGGCAGTGAGAGAGGCAGGGGCTGGCCAAAAAGTTTTCATTAATGTAAAACACTTTACGCACTCATTAGAGTCGTTTGTTTGTGACATCTCCATCTCTATCTCTCCTTCCGTTTTTCTCCGACTCGCCTTGCGGATGATAAATGTGTCCATAATGCGGCCTAATTGCGGCATCATTAGGGGCGCCTCTTGGCCCTGATTGTCCCTCTCATGGAGCATACACTCCAAGTGGATTGGCACACTCGGGGAAAAATTGTAATAGTCAGCAGGAGAAATATATATTTCTTAGGTTTCCGATTACGCGCGGAAAATTAAGGGAAATAGGGAATTAGGAAATAATAATAATAATAATAATTTTATTTGAACTTGATAAATTATTTTTTATTTTAAATATGAATTGCCTTTTGTCTTAATCAGAAATGCAGAAAAATATAGAAGGAATAAGAGATAGGTCACCAAAACTTAAATAGGAAACAGTAAACAAAGCTTTTAACTTATTAAAAAGTTACATTTATTTAAGGTAAAATTATTTATCTCTAAGAATAATAAATAATTATATTAAAATAGAAGCAAAAGAATATTTAAACCTATTTTTATGAAAGAAAATCAAATAGATAAAAGGGCGTTTGGCAGTTACCTTAAAAATATTTTCTTTATAAAACTACTACTCCCTTTTACAATATCATTTGGCTCAGTGTAATCCAGATGAGCTGTGTACTTCGAAACGGACAAACAGACTTGACTTTTGCATATTTTTGGTAAGAGAAGAAGAGGCTTGGCCAGAGCTATACGGACACGGCTGTCATGTTGGATTGGCAACAGAGCAAATCAAATTTAATGATAAACTCAAATGGAAGCACATGTCTTTTCCGCTCGAGATGTGATACGAGGAGTCTGCCATCCTTAAATCGGGTCTCTCTCTATATATATATATACACATCCCTGAGCTGTGTGTTGGCGTAAACAACAACAGAGACATTGGAATGACTAATTTAATGCGTCGCGTTTGGTGACGACAACGGCGTTGTTACGTATACGAACCGTGTGCCCCGAGGAGGACCCTTTGGCATTTTGCAAAAGTTAACGAAGCGAACAGAGCAAACAAGACAGAAACAATAACAAGAACAAGGGAGCAGGAGCAACGCAGGCATAATATACCGAATTTTATTTATAGCATAATTCCAGGTGTCGCGCACAGAAGACGACAAAGTGTTGCAAAAAGCTGGTTAAATTAAAGAACTTGACAACTTAAAGGTAGAGCTAAGTACCTAACCTAACCCTAAACCGAACTTAGTTTAGTGATAATGTTTTGGGTTTATTTCGCGTCTCTTCAACCTGACTTTCAGCCCGTCTTTTGTGTGTATAAAGGGGGCAGGTTGATGCGTTACTTCCATGGCCTCGGCCAGGTTGGCATCCAATTCCAGGTGGAAGTTGTGCAGAAGTTTGATCAGCGCCACCTTAATTACCAGCTTGGCAAAGTTTTGACCTGTAATTTAAGGGCGGAGCAGCACTTAATTATATTGTTTAAGGTGAATTTGTAGCAGTAACTAACCCACACACTGCGCTCCTCCCATGCCAAAACCTATAAAGGCATGGTTCTTGCTCTTCTCGGGAAATTGATCCAAATTATCTTCCATTTTGGAGGAATGCAGGAACCGTATGGGTTTATATTTCAGAGGTTCACTGAAATACTTTTCATCTCTGTGTATGGCCAGCAGAGGAATCATCAATGTCTTGCCCTCGTCTATGGTATACTTGCTGTTGGGCAGCGAGTAACTCTTGCGGCAAACGCGTTCGATGATGGGCAAAGGCGGATATTTGCGTACAGTTTCTGGAGGAATTTAATAAAATAAAAATTAATACCTATTCTTTAGATTATTTCTTATATTTTAAGCTTACCTTTTAAGCACATATCCATATATTTAAGTCCTTCTAGCTGCTCAAACTTCAGCTCACCATTCTCAATGCTTAGCTCCTTGATTTCCGCTTGGAGTTTCTCCACAATCAAGGGTTCTTGCAGGATTTCAAAGAGTGTAAGGGTTATAGTAGAAGCCACTGCATCTAGAGATATTTTAAGGAGATCCTCAGCCACTTTGGCCAAACGTTTGATAGACACAAATTTCTCTTGGTCTGGAAATATAAAATAAATAAATTCTTAAATATTTTTTTATGTAAAAAAATATAAAAATCTACCATTATTCATTTCCAGCTGCCACTTGTCACCACTTAGTTCATTGCCATTCCTAAATCTAACTAGTAATTGTAGTATATCCTTGCGTATCAGTCCATGATCCTCTCGTAGTTCCACGCTCTGCTTAATGAGATCCCTGAGGCGGTAGGTAAACGATGATTTCTGGGGCAGGCGTCCCAAAGTGCTAGGAAATTCGAATTTTATAAAAGGAAAATCCAACTAATTAAGACCTACTTACAAGGATTGTATAGTGACCTGACTCTGCTTTAGATAACTAGTGAAAATGTGATCCTTTTGCTCAAAGTTGTTGATATCCAGGCCGTAAATGAGATTGCCTATGATGTTGATGGAATAACTAAAAGAGGATTTAATAGGAAATTAATTTAATTAAATGTATAAATTAATTTAAAAATATTTAGAGTTAAAATTAGATGCTCACACTCTCAGTATCTGCTGCAAATCCGTTTCCAAAACACCACCTTGCGCCTGTTCCATGTCCATCAAGTGCTGAACCAAATGATCACCCACTTTTTGTACCTGCCCGAACATCTCATTTAATCTCTTAGACCCAAACATGGGTGCCAGCTTCTCCAGCAGATTGAACCTGCGATAACCCTTGATATAGTCCCACTTGAGTTCGTTAAAGTGGCCATTCGATTGCTGCAATATGGTCTGGGCCAGCTCCACGCTTCGAACGAGCAGTACCGGCCTAAAGAAGCAATAGATACCTAGCAGCCGCTCCCTACCGGACTGATAGGCCTCGCAGATGGCCTCCACGTGCCGGAATTCCCGGCGATAGGCCTGATGCAGGAAACTCCACGAGATGCCGGCCTTTTCCGAGGGGAATCCCCTGCGTCGCCAGTGGCTGTAAATGTGCCGAACGAAGAGGAAGATCGCCGTGTAGAGCAGAATAGGCAGCAGCAGCCACATGTTGATGGTGTTTGAAGATGATGTTGCGACGTCGACGGGTGCTGGAAGACTGATACTGAAACCGAAAGCGAAACCTAAAACTACACCAGATTCTGAGGACGTCTGCCCTGGGAGATAATTACTGAGAGTTGCCTGGATGGGAATGATAATGACGGCGACTCCGACGACGATGCCCAACGAAATCGAAAGTAGCGATCGATGCGTCGCTCTTCTCGGCCGCTCGTCTGCCAACTGACAACTGCAAGTCAATCTTGTCTGTCCAAAAAAAGAATAATTACAAAGGCAAAAACTGGGAATGAAAATCCAAAAAATGGGAGAAACAGTATATATATTGGAAAAAATACCGGGCATACTATCACACACTGTTTCAGTTATCTCTCTTTTTGGCTCTCTTTATGGGCTGTGCCCGAAGCGTCCTGATAGTAATTTATACAGCAGCGGCTGTACCATGTCATT